TCGTTCAACTCCTCTGAAGTTAAGTGTAACTAACTTTTAGTGGTAATATTAGTAAGATAAATTTCATTGTATCATCATCTATCCTTACATATAATAAAATTTGAGTATCTTTGTAATATCAAAAAAAAATCCAGATTTCGGGAAGATACATTTGCGTTGCTGATAACGAAAATCGCATTTAAATTTTTTTTTATGTCTGTCTGTCCGCAAGCCGTGTTTGTTTCGGGTAATCTCCGAAACGGCTGGACCGATCCGACTGAATTTTCACTGAAGGGTAGCTGACATAGACGGACATATTATAGGCTACTTTTTATCCTAATATTGCTTGGACGAAATCGCGGGTATCAGCTATTTAATAATAGATGCCATATCGAACCTAGTACCCTAGTGCATTAGTCCACTGTCGCTCTGCTTTGTGGTCATAAATGGATGTTGTTAAACACTTCATAAACGGATTTAACACTTACTCTACATTAACTATGCCGGAAGTAGCAAGTTACACTTAAGCGGTCAGAGTGCCATATTACTACGTAGTTTATGGTTCAACATAAGTTCAATCTGATTTGTAATGTAGAGTATATTTTAAATAATGTTACATTGACGTGCTTACACTTTTACTGAAGTTTAAGTTCCAACTACAATGTCATCCGTATATTTAGAGAATTGTACGAGAAATAGAACAGCCCAAATACATGTTTTTCTGTAACCATTACAGACAAGTTTACAAGTGTACTAACGATCTAATCTAAGTCTGTCACTTTAAATGGGAATGTTTATATTACGCAAATTCATGAAGTCTCAGAAGTTATAAACACATGTCACGTAATACTCTGTATATAAACAAGATGCGTTTATAAATTTAATTTGTACCACCATGATAGATTTTGTACACGTAAGGTTTCAGTCACACTAGACACTTCGTGGCTCAGACATAAGGAAGGAAAGTGACGATGATACCTTGAATATTTTATTGTGTATACTGTTTAACTTGTTATTGACAGCGCGGCAGTAAAAAAATACGAACTTTTATATTTACAATATTATTCTGGAAATTATATCAATCATCTTGACCGTTATATGCTTCTTTTTCTTCTTTTTGACTATATCTCTTTAATAACAAACCATGCAATCTCGGTGGCCAGTATGCAACCTCTTTGGCTGTATTCATACTTCTTGTCAGTTACTGTCGGATACAGTTCTCGGCTAGACGTCACCTGACCTTTTATTTAATGCATCAGTTCAAAAACAATATTCAACAATTGAATAAATAACTCAAATATGATCAATATTAAACCGGATTAGTATATAAGTCTCCGGTAATATTGACTCGTGAATAAATAACGATTGTTTGATCTTTCAATTTATGAAGACTATAACTATCCCTATAGTTTTACCGACTTCGTCACTAATACACCAGACACGATTATAAATGTAACTTGTTGATGTCATTCGAAGTCAATTGTAAATGTAAAATGCAAACTTTTGAGATCAAAAATGTTAGTCGCATCGTTTCGCGAAGAGTTTAGAAATTGTTTAATGTATTTTCATATTGTTTTCACTAATTGTGCTAAAAGGAAGATAAACATATTAATTTTATATATGCGAAAATTTGGATAAATGGGTGTTTGTTACTATATATGTCCAAAACGGCTTAACCGATCTCGATTTGTCACGGATGTAGATTTTCCGAAACAAGACGTAGGTTTTACTTTTTTTTTTAATTCGAATTAAGTTGCGGGCAAATGTTAGCTACATAATTCATTATTGTGGTTGGTATGAGGATAAAATACCATACATGTATGTGTTTGAATGGTAGTAGATAATAAAATGTAATACGTTTCTTTTTACGACTCCATCGTCACCATCGATCGGAACTATAGCATTCTCCAGTCGCATAGAGCGTTGTGATTAGTCACAATGTCATTGACCCGAGATCTCCCTAACGTGTGATTCAGGCGTCGACTTTACTAAGAAATACTTGAACGGAATTGCAACGATTTACATTATACGGTAATTTTTTTGAGAGCAATGTTATTTTACTGTACTTAATACTGGCCATAGTATTGAGTTTTTAAAGTGTTATGAACTAGAGTTGATTCTTACTTAAAATTGTGTTTGTCTTCAATGATTAGAACTTAAACTGTTTCTTAATCCAAAAACAAAACACTATAGGTGTATAATGCCGTGACGTCATGAGGTGGACTAGTTTTATCGACAGACATTCAACCACTGCCAATGCATTCACAGCGTTGTGCAACTATTTTACACAACTTTTATCATATCAAAGTGATAGCAACGACAGAAAAATAAAAAATAAAGTCTAACCTCAAGGTTGAGAAAACACTAAGGCCGGATCTTATGTTTTAACTTGATTGTTTTAACACGACATTCCCCTTAAAAATGGATTAAACAGTGGTGTACAAATAATTCGGCACTTGTCAATCATGTACAATGATTTAACCAGTTTCTACCGCAGGCTAATTTGTTACGGTATTGAATAATCAGCTATGTTTATAGGCTATTGTGTTGGTTTGGCAGTTGATAAAACTATTATCATTTAATGATAATGAGTAACTTAGTCATCGATTCAACGTTTGTCAACAATATACATGAAAATTAACAGAGTAACAAATTTTTTAAATGTTGGCTGTCGCTCGTGACTTGATGACCAACAAAAAAAAATAAAAGCTCATGCGTTCGTCTAGTGTTCTAGATCCATATCAATATTCATCCAAATCTTTACATCCGTTCTGAAGATATCTTCTAACAAACATCTTCAAATTTTTGCATTTGATTTATTACTTTACTAAAATAAGATATATTCCAGAAAATGGTGAAAAAAACAGCAAACTGTTATCTATGAATCTTATTTAATCTCTCCTAAATGATGATGGACTGTTGTATATTTATATAGTTTCAGTTATCAATATCAAAGAAAAGAAAAAAGCCTGCAAGAATTTCCACAATGATATTCGTACGACGAATAGTTAACCTTTTGTACAGCGAAAGAATGACAACAATGCGTTGACTTTTCTGAGGATCCGTCGTGAATTTATATTTAAATAGAATGGGTCAGTGTAGAACTATCGATCGTATTACTGGCACACTAAGGGTTGTTACTTGTATACTGTCACTGTTAATGTAGATTTTGTAAAAGGAATCTAAACTAAGGGTTTTGTTGATCTCCGTGTGAAGATTGATATACTCAAAAACTAAATCTAAATCAGTGATTGAATACTGCAATTTGTTAGTTACTGATTTGAGGGATAGATGGACCTTGAGTTTCTCGCGTTTTATTCAAACTTGATACTAGGTTATTCAGCCGTCATGGCACTATATTATTCAAACAATAGTGGCAACCTTGCCGATCATGAATAATTTTAACGTAGTGAGACATAGACGAAGTAGAAGAAATAAATTAGTTATTGTAGTCACAGAGTAACCATGCTTGTTTAATCGATATCATATGTTACCTACTTAAAATGTAATAGTTGAATTTTGTTATTAACGTCCTAATGTAGTTTTTTCTTGTCATTGAGATGTATTTCAACTAAGTGATAAAACCTTATCAAAGAGGACATGTACCGTTCACATTGTTGTGCTCAAGAATAAGATCATCCGAAACCTTTAAGCGTGTAAGCGTATATGTAAGAATGTGGAAGAAGCGAGAGAGGAATATCACCACAGGGAGTGTTCCCAGGAGCTGTTTGGAACAATTCCTGCTGGCGTGTTTCGTCATTGGACGACGCGACAGACCGCCAGGTACCATATTTACCATGTCGATGGCTGGCATTCCACAAACCTGCGGTTTTCGCGGAACTTTCTGCCCCGCACAGCCGCTTTGTGGAACGGTCTGTCCTCGGCGGTATTTCCAAACCGATGCACTTGGGTTCTTCAAAAACCGAGCCTACAATT